TAACTGGTCCTATGTCGTTAGCATCAGCTATTGGGTCTTGCAGAATGGGTACACTTTCTTGCCACATCACCTTACAGAGTCACTCTTGTGTCCTGAAAGACTTTGTGACACCATGAATAGACAGGTTCAATAGATTTCCACTCCACCTCATTAAAGAAGGGAAAATAATGGACTGACTATTTCATATCCGGTCCGACTAGCACATCCTAAATAGGGTCATATATCATGCAAATAGAAACAACTGGATATGGACGAGTCAAGAGTAGAAAGTGCTGTCTTTGCCATTAAATGAACCTGAACTAGAATGCTAGCTCTTTCAGTGCCTGACAATGTGATATACTTCATTTTTGTGGATAATCTTTTTTTACACTAGTGTAAAACTGGAATGATGATACTTACCTTTTTATAATGCCTGATAGAGAGTGAAGGGTTATCTTAGTGGTAAGGAGTTGCACTGCCAACACAAAGGCACTCAGTTCTAATTAATCAGCTACATCACAGAAGAAAAGTGGGCAGTTTTCTGCCTTGCAAATTACTGCCTCTGAAACCCCACTGGAGGGTCAGCTATGGGTCAGTTGTGACTCAGTGATTTTTATAATAAGTTCATAGGGAATTGCACTGCTAACCCAAAGGCAGCACTTTTCTGGTGGTTTGATTCCCCCAACACCTCTGAGGGAGAAAGATGGGAAATTTTCTCTGCTCTCAGGGACCTCTCCAGAGTACTGAGAAGCAACGTTGTCAGTCTAGAGACTAAGGTGCACGTGATCCAGGCTCTGCATCAGAGAGCTGGACAATGACTAAGGATCACACAAGAAGAATTGATGCCTTTGAGTTGTAGTGCTGGAAAAGAGTCTTGAACAGACCATGAACCACCAAGAAAATAAATAGGTCTGTCTTAGAGAGAGTGAAACCAAGTTTCTACTTGGAGGCTACGATTTTTGAAGCGTCATCTCACATACTTTGGGCATGTGGCCAGGAGGGACCAATCATTGGAGAAGGACCATGCTCGGAAGGCTAGAGGCACAGCCCAGGAGAGGGAAACCTCAGCTGAGATGGATTGATACAATAACTGCAGCAATGAGGGGAGGTGTGTCGGAGTCTGTGAGGCTCGCTTCAGACAGGGCAGGTTTCAGACCTGTTGTACATAGGAGTTGCTATGTGTCACAGGTGACTCAACAGCACATAACAATTAAACAAACACTTTATAACCTCCAAAAAAACCTGCTGGAAGGGCAGCTATGAGTCAGTTCTGGCTCAAAAACGAGTTTAAATTTGAGTGGGATATCGCATATGCTCCATAAATAGAGATGGCGATTACTACCACCATTTTCACCACCCTTACTACAACTATTATAATTATTTTGTAAATTGCACCCAATTCCTTTTGATGTTGTTGTTTATTGTGATTAAAGTGAAAGTTTACAAAGCTGGTTGATTTTTGTTTAACCATTTTGTTTTATGACATTAATTACTTACATTAAATACTCATTCAAATATTACATTAAATAAACAAATTCTTTCCATTGTTTCCCTATGATTCTCATTTCCACCAGTCCTTCTATCCTACCCCTTCCTTCTGAGCTTTATTCTTGGGCAAATGATGCCCTTTTGATATTATATGGTTGATTATTCTAAGGAATAGGTGCCTCCCTGGTGTTGCTGTTCATTGTATAGACTTGTCTATTGTTTAGCTGAAAGTTGAGCCATGGAGAATAGTTTTGTTCAGAAGATGGTCTTGGAAAAAGTCTAAAGGAGGAAGGGGTGGGGGCACTGAGAGTAGGGAAGAGGAGAAATCTCGAGGTCACAGAATTTGGTAGGTAGAGTGCGGTAGGTGAAGGAATTAGGAAAGATCCAGTTAGGGACCTGAAACATGGAGGAATTGGTGGGCATGGATCAATCGTGGTTAATTTTATAAAACACAATGTATGGGAATGATTGCATTTAAAACAATGTCAGCAGAGGAATGAATGAAACACAATGTATATAAAGAAAACACAAGATATACTAATTTTGTATGCAAACCAATATAAAATAAAAAAAAAAAAGACAGTCTTGGCTGTCTCCCACTTGTCTCAGTCATAAGCTTGGCTAGGTTTTGGTAAAATTTTTTCCCCCCATTGATTTATGTAAGTGAAACTTTATAAATCATATTAATCTTTCATTGTCATTATAGACTTTTCGTTTTATAACATTAATTGCAGTTGATGAATATAATTAACTTATTAGAATGTCTAATCAAATTCCTGTCTTATATTTCCATTCATACTCATAGCTCAGTATGAATGGGTTGTACATAGGGTCGCTATGAGTTGCAGGCGACTCGACGGCACATAACAACAACAACAACATATTTCCATTCCCTTCGATGCCTGACTGGTTGTGTTTTTCAGTTTTGTTCTTTTCTTGGTCCCCTCAATCCAGAACCTCCTGGCTACTTCTAGAGTGGTCGGCAGCAGTAGCTGGACCCTGTATAGAGTTCTGGTCTCAGGATTGTGGAGTTTGAAATCCACGTGCCTACTTCGTTAGCCCTGAACTCATCGATTCTACCCATGTTGGCTTTCCTTCCCTTTTCTTTGTTCCAGGCCAGGAGAGACCAGTAGTTTTACCTTAGATGGCTGCTCACAAGCTTTTAAGTCCCAAGCCAGGACTCACCCTGGAAGGACATAGTGCACTGTCTTTGTGGTCTCTGGTATGCTAATTGATCTCAGTCACCACAGCCCTAAGACCAGCAGCTTGTTTGCTCATTGTGATGGGTTTTGATTGATAGATCTACATGATTCTCCCCCCATTGGCTCTTTTGAATTTATTTACATAATACACTAATATGTAAGCAAGGATATCATCTGCCTAATTAACATAATCTGCTGAGGAGCTCCTGTTACCTGTTCATGTCTGTTCATCTTGCCTGTCTGCCTGCACATCTGCTGGTAGATTAATGTCTATTCTGCCTGCTATTGTGACAGTGTATGTGCAAAGGTGTTTACTTGTTGACTAATTTTCAAGTATTATACACACAAATACATAAATACAGGGAGCTCTAGTGACCTAGTGGTAAGAAGCTGCACTGCAATCCTGAAGGCACACAGTTCAAATTCATCAGCTGCTCTGTGGGAGGATGGGCAGTCTCCTCCCATGTAATTAACTGCCTCTGAAAACCCACTGGAGGGTCAGCTCTGGGACAGTTCTGACTCAGTGAAACATAACAACAACATCAAGAGTTCATAGTGGTTGCATTGCCAACCCAAAGGCCCATGGTTCGGATCTACCAATTGCTCCTGAGGAAGCATGATAGGCAGGTCCCTCCTGAGTGATTTGCAGCCTCTGAAAACCCATGAGAGGATCAGCTATGAGTCACTTTTGACTTGATGGCAATGAAGTTATTGGTCCATAGCTAATAACCCTTCACGTGTTTGTTGGCCATCTGAATGTCTTTGGTGCTGGCGGGGGTTTTTTGTGTGTTCTTCACTCATTTTTAAATCAAGTTGTTTGTCTTTTTCTTCCTGAAGTGTTGTAACTTCATAGATTTATCTCTTTTCAGATACATCATTACCAAGTTATGTTCCCAATCTATAAGTTCTCTTTTTACTTTTTGTAAAAGTCCTTTTATGTACACAAGGGTTTCAGTTTTAGAAGTGTCTTGTTACCTCATTTATTCTATTTTTGGTTATGCTTAATAATATATTTATTCCATTGAATAGGGCATCTAAGATTGCTTTTACATTTTCTTTGATGTTTAAAGTTTGGGGTTTTACACTTAGTGCTTGATCTACCTTGAGTTAGGTTTTGTATATGGTGTGAGACGTGAATCTTGTTTCCATTTTCTGCAAACAGATGTCCAGTAGCACCAGCATCATTTGTTAATGAGGCTGTCTTTTCTTCTGCCTAAGAGATGTCATTTATTTGTCAAATATTAGCTCTGGGTTCTCAGTTCTATTCCATTTGTTTATGTGCTCATCATTGTGCCAGTACCAGGCTGTTTTGACTTTTGTGATCTAGAAGTGTATCCTAACTGGTTTTGCATTCAGTGTACCATGTGACCTCATAGCAGCCTATTGAACTAAGGTAGCATAGGAGTAGTTACCCTATATTCCAAACGAGGGAACTAAAGATAAAAGAGGTCAATTAAATTATTTGCTTGGTTTCAGATAGAAGATGGAATTTCTGTCTGGGCTTTAATTGTAAAGACAGAGCCCATGCTGTGTCTTTTTTTATGTGCTCCCTACCTCTACTCACAAGCACTGGACAATGAACAAATACATTCTCAGAAGTCCAGTGCCTAGATTGATTTTTTCAGGGACTGAGCCATCTGCTCTCTCACTTCTGCCTTTCTCTAAGCCATCCTGTTCCGTTGTAAACATTGCACATATTAGTTTTGCACCCCGCTCAGATACCTGTTTGAGTCTTAGAGGAGATCAACCTCACCACCAAGGCATGTCAAGGGCTCTTCTGGCTGTCAATATTGGATGATTAGAGACCACCAGAGGCCTCTAACAATGCTAATTGAGCAGAAGCTCTGAATGCTGTTCTGTGCCCTGGCTGTGGTCTTTTCAAGACCACAGATTACCTCTGTGTTACAAGGACAATATAAACCTTTTTTCCCCCTCTGCTATAATCGTCAACCTTAGTTGACAGATATACTGAGAATAGATTCATGTTTGAGAAGCTGATAATTCCCTGTGAATTGGTTTGTCATGCTTTTTTAAGTCTGTGTGTACACGGAAAACAGTTTTTTGAATTCTCCCCGTGCGTGGACGTGCATGCTGGTTCCTCCTCAATTCCTCACGAATGTCACAAATGACTTTCCTTGAGTTTACCAATTTGCAGGATTATAATGCTTCTCCCTGGACACCTGTGCCCTAGATAAATTCCAGCCAGAATAGCTATCTCTATTCCTAAACTGTGGCTTATTTTTCAGGTAAGAGGGCCTTGGTTTTAGGTCATCCGCAGCAGGGGTATCCAGGATCTGGAGCTAACGGTTGGCTCTATTTTTTTTCGTGCAGCTGTGTGGAGGAGTACAAGCTGGCGCCTGATGGAAAATCCTGCCTGATGCTCTCAGATGTCTGCGAGGGCCCCAAGTGCCTCAAGCCCGACTCCAAATTCAACGATACCCTCTTTGGAGAAATGCTACATGGTTACAACAACCGGACCCAGCATGTGAACCAAGGGCAAGTCTTCCAGATGACCTTCAGGTATGGGCCAGTCACTTGTATGTGGTATAAGTCTTTGGCACAACCTCTAAGTAGGTTCAGGGAATCATGAGCACCAAAGAATGGCTGACAGAATCACTCCTCCCGCTTATCGAAACCCACCTGTGGACTATTAGAGGCCAGCCTGTGAGGTTTCTTCTTATCTGCAAATCCACTTCTGTTCTTCTCCCTCAATTCCCATCTCCATTTCCCTGACCTTGTCTATGTATTTTAAATTCATTCTGCAGTCATTCTGTAAGCACACTAAATGGAATTTAAATTTTTAATTACCCTTTTCAGTCCACTAAAAAATAAGTGTCCTTCGCAGCCTACTAAGGCAGTATAAAGACATTAATGAAGTAGAAAATAAAAATTTCATCATCCAGAAATACACAGAATTAACATTTTTCTGAATGTTCTTAAAACATCTGCCCCCCTCCTTTTCTTCCCCTCACCCCCAACATATGCGTATCTCAGTAAAGCAGTTCTAAAAAATGCTTTTTAAAGTCAATGATGTGCTGAAATACTCCATCCATATTAATGAATGCAGAGGTGCATGAGAAAGTAAAAAATGAGAGTACACTCATAGCTCCGTCGGTCGGGTTATGTGAGGGTCAGGCACAGACATGCTGGTTGTGAAGGGTGTCTTAGGACAGTTAAAGGAACTGGGGCGGTCCTGCCTCAAGAAGAGAGATTGCAGGTGGGACTTAGTCATGCCTCGAAAATCTGAAAAGTCCTGAAATGGCAGAATGAAAAAAAAAAAAACAAACACAAAAAACCTTCTTCAGTATCTAAGAAAAGATTCCCTTTTGGAAATTGAATGAGCTCTGCTTTTAGGCAGTTCTGCACGGAAATGGCGATGATTATTACTGCAAAGTGACCCCTTGCTAATATATGAAGACAGGTTGATGGAAGTCAGAACAGGTAAGAAGCCTCATCATTGTGACTGTCATCATTCCCATCCATCATCTTATTAATGACAGTGCTTAGTGTAGGAAGAGTGGCAGGAATGGTGACCATTTTTTAAAGAATTGTTCCGTGTCAAGCTCTTTACTAAGTATTTTAATAATAATAAATAATGATACTAATAATAACAACAACAGCTAATACTAATTCTTGGAAGGAGAAGTGGCATCCACTTCCATAATAGCTTGCCTCTGGAAACCCTACGAACCTGGAGAGAGGATGAGAGACACCCAAGCATTGAGGACTCTCCTTCATAGGGTCGCTATGAGTCGTCTGCGACTCGACGGCACTTAACAACAATAACAATACTAATTCATTACATGATAAGAGCTGTTTTAAACACTTTCTATGAATTAACTTATCCAGGCCTCACAGTGAACCTGTGAGGAAGAATGTCTTCTCTTCCTTTTTGTATAGATGAAAAACAAACATACTAAGTAATTTTTCCAAGACGCCATTCTAAGAAGTAAGAAAGCCAGAATAATTGTCACATTAGCATCACTATTAGAATGGTTTAAGGCACCACAGCGAGTTCAGGTGGTACAGTCTGTAGGGAACTGCACCTCTTTGCTGAGTTGAATTCATCAGCGGCTCCAGGTGGAAGTAAGGTGGGCAGTCTCCTCCTTTGCTATTTATAATCTCAGACCCAATGGAGGATCAGTTAGGAGTTGGTTCTAGCTCAACAGCAATGAGTAGTAATAGTGGGAAGGCACATGTCCTTTATTCTACAATTGAAGAATCAGCACCAGAGACATTAAATGACTCTCCTAAGGTCACCAACCAGTGACAGACAGAGTCAAGATTTAGACTCAAGCCTTGGCCAGTTCTAAAGCCTTGCTCTTGTCTTCTAATACATTTTTCCTCTTCATCTCACATTTTATAGGTGAGGCGATTGAGAACTAGAATGGGAATATGAGTTCCCCAAAACTATTAAGCTGTCAAGTTGTCACAGATTCTTTTAGCATCTACTGTGTCTCAAGAAACATGTGGTTTTTGGGGTTACAGTGACATATGAGCTGGAAATGGCTCTAGGCTCTGTGGTGCTTTGTGTGTGTGTGTGTGTGTGTGTGTGTGTGTAAGGGGGTGTATGTGTGTGTATAGGGGTAGAGAAGTTGATCATATATAGTTACTTAAATGGTTACAAATACTATGAACTAAAGGTACAGGTTTCTAGGAATGTAATAAATAGCAGGTTCTAATTTAATTGTAGGAGCTCTGGTGACCTATTGGCAAGAAGCTGCACTACAATCCCAAAGGCACACAGTTCAAGTCCACCAGCTGCTCTGTGGGAGAAGGATGGGCTGTCTCCTCCCTGTGCAATTAATTGCCCCTGGAAACCTGCTGTAGGATCAGCTATGGGTTTTTTCCAACTTGATGGTACACAAGAACAACAATTTAATTGAAGCAGAACAGTAAGACTACCTCTGTTACTTTAGAAAGCAAGGGCAAAGCACTGGAAGTCACTTTTTGTATATCCAGCAACATTCAGAATTAATATTTTCTTAAGATTTTCTCTGTCTCTCTCCCATTTTTTCTCCTCATTCAATCTCTATACAAGTGCTTACACCTGCCCCCCACCCCCATCATATATGCATACACATTCAAAATTTAAATAAAATGCCTTTGGAACAGGATTTGAACAATGACCAAGGAGAATTGATGCCTTTGAGCTGTGGTGCTAAAGAAGAGTATTGAGAGTACCATGGACTTCTAGGAAAATAAACAAATTCATCCTGGAAAGGGTCAAACCGGGTGGCTCCTTGGAGGCAAGGATTCTGAGGCTCTGTCTAACATACTTTGAACATGTCGTAAGGAGAGACCAGTCCTTGGAGAAGGACATCATGCTTGGGAGGCTGGAGGGACAGTGCAAGAGGGGAAGGCCCTCTGTGAGGTGGATTGATTCAGTGACTGGGATGATTGGGATGGGAGTGTCTGAGACAGTGGGATTGGCACAGGACAGAGCAGAGTTTAGGGCTGTTGTACATAGGGTCGCTATGAGTTGCAAGTGACTCGACAGCACATAACAACAACAACAACATGAAAGTGTTAATTCCTGAAATATGATTAGGAGTTAGTGTTGGGAAACATTTCAAACAGAGAAAATGGAAGATTCTAGTGTTCTAAGAAGGGAGAGAATGTGGCTGGTCAGTGTGTTTGATGATAAGAAAGTAGGGGAAAAGTGGTCAGAGATTAAACTGAAGCAGTAACCAGTGGCAGATAATGGGGTCTCTCAGCACAAGACTTTCTTTTAAGAGCAACAGGAGAACTCCTCGGTGGGTTAACGGAAGGGAGTAAATCATTGTACTGCATTTTATGACATTAGAGTGTCTGTGTCATAACAAGTTATGGCTAACATTGCAAAGAATGATAATCTCAAACTACTTAGTTATGCTTATGCAAAACCTATACCTAGATCAGAAGGCTGTTGTGTGAACAGAGCAAGGGAACACTACATGGTTTAAAATTAAGAAGGGAGTGAAAGAACAAACAGATATGTCTTGAAGAAGGTGCAGCCATAGTGCTCTTTGGAGGCAAAGATGATGAGGTGCCATCTCGCATACTTTGGGCATATTGCTAGGAGGGGCTATTCCTTTGAAAAGAATGTGATGCTCAGAATGATAAACAGTTGGCAAAGGAGATTGACACACGTGGATTGACACGGTGACTACCATCATGGGCTCTAATGTGTCAGGAAGTATGAAGATGGCGCAGAATAGGACAGGGTTCAGATTTGTTGTTCATAGGCTCTCTGTAGGTTGTACTACACTTGATAGCACCTAACGACAGCGAGTGTGTGGAACATACATTGCAATGAAAGTAAGTGGGAGAGTGGGTGTGGTAGAGTATCAGTTAAAAGTCTACTGTAGAAACTGAGTGAGTGGCGATGATTTCACCTCAGATCACGGGAGCAATACAAGAGAAAAATATTTTCCGGTAGTGGGAAACAGTCTTCTTAAATAGTAGATATATTGTAATACTGAGATTTACAGTGCTTTGTTGTTGTTACTGTTATGATTATTGTTTTAGAACTCACTCGTAACTGACCGTTTAGTAGTTTTTCAGAGACAGTAAATCACATAGCAGACTGCCCATCTTTCTTCTGCAGAGCAGCTAGTGGGTTTGACCAGCATGCCTTTGGGTTGGCACTGTAACCAGTAAACCACCAGAGTTCTCTTCTACATTGCTATTCATCTATAATGTTAATCACTTCTGATCATAGATAAAGCAATGATGTTTGGGTCCAGAATTGAAAATAAAGAAACTGCCCCTGTTTTTGAGGAGAAAATGTATGTACTTATAAAATGACACACCCAGTTGAGTAGGTAAAGGAAGAAGTTATTTCACTTTCAAAGCAATGTGCCAAGTTTTGCCAATGGTTTCCATAGAGTTCTCATGCAAAGCCTTCCAAAGGGAATGAGAAGGGAGGATGAAATCTTCTCGGAGGAAACATGTCAACTGTGATTTGAAGCAACGGTGAATAGCAATGCTTGCTAGAGTGAAGAGCTTCAGAGACACTTATGGTACAGGAAGGAGTCTGCAAAGGTCCTGACAAATGTCCAGGAGGGAGACATCAAGAAAACAGTCCTCCCTTCCAGATAGATCTGGCTTCGAGCTCTGATTCCTCCCACAACAATCATAGAGCTACTGTCTCATTTTTTAAAGGGGGTGTTTGTCTCACATGACAGCCACTGTAAGAAGTACATCATATGTTTTACATTGTTTGAGTTCTCACATAAACTGTCAGTGACTAACATGTGATAAATGAACAAATACATCCATTCCCCACATCTTGGGCAAGTATAAGCTTGTTCCAAAGGGAGAATCCACATGAGTAATAAAGTACTGGAATCTGAAGGACTTAGGCATCATGGAATCCTGGGATCCCCTTTTACATTTGGTGAAAGGACTTGCCTAAGATCTTAAGCAAGTCATTGTCATGCTAGCCCCTGACTCCTATCTCCTGATAGTTCAGGATGGTGTCTCCCCACCTACCACCAACAGTTAGAGAAAGCATGGGGTCTTTTTTTAAAAAAAAA